CAAGTATGTACAGCTTAAATAATCGAAATATACCAACGTCGGGTCATTATTTAACACAATGCAGTTCCGGGATAGCATTTAAAGTCTTATATTGGGTGTAAATAGTAACACAAAATTTTGCAAAATTTTGCAAAATTTTTAGTTACCTTTTGTGGAATCTGACGTAATAATATTAAATTCAAATGGTAAAAACTGAATTTTTGCGGAATGTTGCAGAATTTTTTCAAATAAATAAATTATTTAAACTTATGAAAATATTAATTAAAATTAAGTGGTTTGTCAAAATTAAATATTTAGTCTATAAGTTTATTAAATTTTACAAATAATAATAATATTATTAAATTAACGAAATTTGTTATTATTTGTTTTAATTTTAGTTTCCAAAAATTGTTATATAATTTAGTTCATACTTTTGATACTATTAAAATCAAATACTAATATTTTTTAAATATAACTTACTTCTTGTCAATTATTTCAGTGAATTTATTTTTCTAACACATGTTATTTTCTTCATAATTTTTTAATTTCACATATTCATCAATTCCTTTATTGGGCATATATAATCTTGTTGTGCAACTAGTAACCAAAAAAAAGTATTCCACAACTTTTCCACATAATTCCTCAAATATAGAGTTACCAGTTAGGGCCAATTTAAATTCTTGGGATAAAGCAAAAACAAGAAAATCGTTTTCTAAATGGAATAAACCAATGAAGTTGCGTTGTGTTCGATCAAATCAGTTCATATCTGTGTATTAATCTAGATCCAGTCCATTATGTAATAATCTAGAACTCGGTCCATTATTGTGATAGATCATACACTCAGTCTTGCATAGAAAATTCTATGAATCAAGAATCAATAATTCAAGAATTTTGTGGGTGTGATATAAAGAAGAAACAAAAAAAAGTTAAGCAATTTTATAAGTAAGAAAAGTAGGTGACATTAATTGCTATGTAGATTTAAAATTTTCAATAGAGAGAGTAGAATGATATGGAAGATTATGTGGTTGTGTTTCCTATATTTATTAGACACATCACCCACTTTTGTATCTCTCTTGCTTTCTCACGATCGAATGTCTAGAGTCGAGACTTTTATAATTGTAAGATTGTAGCAAAATCATGATCATTGAAGTTGAATTATATTAAAAATAAAATAAATTTATGAAGGGATAATTTGCTATAAATACAACAAAAAATTATAACTTAAAAAATAACCAAAAATCCCAAATGTAATGGTTATGATTTTGCCACATATCCCA